GTTCGAATCCCTAGCACCGCATAACGGAATGAGCTCCCGTTGTTTGTCCCACTTCGAAAGCATGTAAAAATGTAAGTAGAAAAATAGGGGCCACCTTTGGTGGGAAGGTAACAGTGTTCTGTGCGTCTTCGGCATTGAGTCATGCCGGCCACATGAGCACGGAGACGTCTTCAGACAGTGCTGGCTCTTTGGCTTTGAAATGGAGATGAGCACCACCCCCTAGAGTCGGGAATGACGAGCACATATATGTGAGGGGAACCTTTATGTTTACCTAACACTAGTTATTCAAAACATAAGCAACCGACCATGGGCCACACAGTTTATGGATTGTGATTTTAGTGTAGTTCGATCATGTATAATTGACAGACTGGGTTTTATCATAGATTTATCTGTTATTTATTATTTTATTCTAGAATTTGTTCTGTCTATGACTAATAAAAATATATATTATTATTCAGCTTCAAAACATGGGAAGCGCAGTGTGCAAACAGGAGTGGTGTATTTGGTGGGGTCCTGGACGCTTTCTGAGTATGGTGGTTTTGTTGCAGATGTTTCATGACCCAAGTAGGGAACATCATCCCTTTTGATCATGCACGTCGGGCATGGCCGATGTGACCTAGTTAGGTAACGAAACATCTGCAAAGGAAGCAAGCTCGGGAGAAACACCAAGGACCCCTCAGTTCGACCCCGAGCTATAAATATAGATGCATTGGTCATAAAACTCCCAAATTAACAGCACTGGCATGTCCTTTTCCCCCCCCCAGAGGCGAGAACGTGGAAGACGCGTTCCTAGAAGCCGCCAAGAAAATCTACCAGAATATCCAAGACGGGAGCCTGGACCTGAACGCAGCAGAGTCAGGGGTACAGCACAAGCCTTCGGCTCCACAGGGCGGGCGGCTAACCAGCGAACCCCAGCCCCAAAGAGAAGGCTGCGGCTGCTAGTTGACCTTGGTTCCTCGGCTCTGTCTGTGACCTTTCACCTCTGTCAAGAGCAGTGCTTTTTTGGGGGGAGGGTGGGGCTGCTTCCATTTTCCTCTGCACATCTTACCAGGTTTAATTAAAACTCCCGAGGCAAGAGTTTAACACAATACTAAACTGCTAAAAGAATAAAATAAAAAGAGAAAAAACTTAGATGTAATCAGGTTATCAAAGGCAAGTAGAGTCATACCCCCCATCCCTGCATGGTAAATCTTAGACGTCCTTATTCCCCCCTACCTCTCCCCTCCCCATAATCAATTTGTCCTTGTGAATAGATGTCACCGATTCATGATTTACAAAACAGAGCTCTGATGCTGGACCTCATGACTTTCACTCTCTCTCTCCCCTTCTTTTCTCCGCAGAGCTTTTGTCTCTCGTAAAGTTTAACTTTGGTAGCTTCAACTTTTTTCTCCCAATCTGTAACTGGTCTGTCCTTTTTAGTAACAAAACAAAAAAAAAAAGAAAGGAAAAAAAAAAGATTTGCTATGAAACTATTTCCAAGGGTAGAACGGGATCCCGCGTGCATTGCTTTCGTTGGGAAACTGGTGGTGGTGGTTAGGGTTTTTTGGCGGAGGGGGGAGGAAGACACTTATCGCTGGGCCCCCTCCGTCTCGGCTTGGGACATGGTGTGGATTTATCTCATATCCCATGTCTTGAGGCTGCCGCCGCCGCTGTTCCCTATTTTTACCCATACGGGCCCTTATTATTAACCAAGCGTAAATATGTATAAATTTTGACCAAACCAAGCTACACACTCAGATACATCCTGTGTATATGATTTTAATGGAGGACGGGAAATTAGAAACTTAAAAGTGTACAGCTCCACTAAAGATGGCCAGGTTAGTGAGTGCAGGTCATTTGTCCACCCCGGTTTCACTTTATGACGTTTGGCGTTAATGCAGTGACCAAGAGTATTGCTAGCCCAGCGTGGGACCTCTCTGCCCTCTTCTCTGCCCTACTCCTCCTCCTCTTTTTTTGTTGTTGTTACTGCGGGTCTTGTGTACTTGAGGATGTGCTAACTCGCTTTCCCTCTTCCCCCTTAAAAGATAGCTCTTGCATTTATTCCAGCTGCGTTTCCCGCCTTGTTGTGTAAGAAGGTGGGGTTGGGTCGCACACCTGTATGCTTCTGGGAAGGGTCTTCTTCCAACTGGACCGTGGCAAATATTACTCTTGAGGGAGTTTGGACTCTGCTGGACACTACAAAGTTCCACAACCTTAGCTGCTGATAACTCTTCCCAACTTCCTCTCTGCCATGATCCCTGAAAGAGGGTTCACTGAGAAGGGTGGGCCCTGTAGGATGGAATTCCCCCCCCCCCCAAACCTCTCTCCACCCTTAATTGTTCTCTCAATGCCAATCTGGTTGAAGATGTGGCTAAGCCCGGCTGGGGAAAAGGATGAGCCCCTTTGATTCTGTTGCCCTGCAGTGTCTCAAGCGACCACGCCTAGACACACATGCCCTCGATGACACTAAAACCAGGCCACGTTCCAGTGTGCAAAAGCGAAAGGGGAGAACCAGCACGCTGTCCTTCCTCGCTTAACGTGCCCCTTTTTTCGTTTGCTCTAGTTTTTTCCCCTCCCTCCTGAAATCTCAAGATTCTTTCAAAGTAGATGGGTATTACAGAATTTTGCTCTTTGAATTGCACCGTGTGGGGGTGGGGGTAGGGGGGGGGCGAGGGTTGCCCAGGGACCATGACCTGTTGACACAACTTAAAAAAGTTTTGGGCAAAGGCAGTTTGCTTCCTGCAGCTTGTTAGCGGTGCAATATCCTTTTCTTGCTGTGTCCGTCCCGTTCCCCCCCCCCCTTTCAAATTACAGTAGGTCTTCATTTTCTGTGACAGGATTTATTTGGGCTGCTGTATACTCATTTAATGTAACAATGCTATTATCTAAATATTTGTAAATAAAGTACCTGTATCTAGACAAAAATGAGTGTTGTTCTTGGAGGAGGGGGAATAAATGGGTTGTGAATTGTGGGACAACTGAAATGAATGATTTTTTAAAAAGGGGCGGGGGGAGATAAAACTTTAGAAGTTGGGCTTGAATTGTCCCAAAGGTGCTTTTTCAAGACAAAACTGGACTTTTTTTTTTCCTTGAAGATGTTTCGCTCTTCATTTAGGAAGCTTCTTCAGTTTTTCTTCTTCAGAAACTTCAGAACTGAAGAAGCTCCTTGGATGAGGAAGGAAACGTCTTCAAGGAAAAAAACAAAAGGAAGTCCAGTTGCCTTTTGGAAAAACACCTTTGGGACAATCATGGCCTTGGATGACCCAGAAACTCCACAGACTTTGAATTCTTTTATGGGGTCTTCTACCATACAGGGTCTTATTTTCTTTTGACCCAAAATAAGCGCTTGGCCTTATTTTCGGGGAGGTCTTAT